GAAAGTGGTAATTAATTACGTTAATTACGAATTACGTATTTACGGTAATTAGCTAATTACCATATCATGTATAATTATAATGGCAGTTTAAATATTTAGAATTTTCTATTCTGTATTTTTTTATAAAATTATAATTATAATGCAAAATTACGCAGAATGCATAGATATTATAACAGAATTTACGCAGAATATAATGTTTTTTTAATGCATGGTATGTCGCGGAATTTGTCTTTAGCACTCACGGAATTAGCATTTATCACCGCAGAAAATCATCGTCCCTGCAAATGTCCATTATGCTGATTAACGTGAAAAACTATTAATTGGGCAATCCGTTATGAAAGATCAGCATGAAAGGTTGCACTATTACTATTACTACATAAAATTTTTTTCATATGCATATGAGAAAATCTCAAAGATTATTATTATAGAAATATATATTTTTTTCAGACAAAAGTATTAATATGTGTAACATACAAAGAAAACTGGATGTATTTTTAATTTTAATATTAACAGCATAGTTACTAGCCAAAATTACTTTTGTTAGTAAATGATCATTGCCAAATTCAAAATGCCAAAATAGTTTTTCATAGTAGCTGAAATTAATTTTAATAGTGGCCAAAATTATATCCAAAATCATTTGAATTCCTTATGATCATTAATATAGAGAAGATGGAAAAATCAGAATTTTGCCAAAATATTTGACAAATGCAAAAACAATTTTGGCTAACTATGCTGTAAAATGTTCAGATTATACATGGATGGTAATTAACTAATTACTGTAAATACATAATTTGTAATTATTGTAATTACCACTTTCCCTCTTTAAAGAAAAATAACTCTAAACATTAAATTATTTGACATTTTAATGAACCAATGAGTGATTTTACAAAACCTAAGCAAAATAGAATGTATGTGCGCAAGAATTACTTATTGGTGTGCCTGCATTAAAATAAATGAAAAACCTACAAAGTGAACAAAAAATTATAAAATTATATATAGAGATAAGTGTATATGAAAAGTAATAAATATAATGGTTCTAATGAATATCAAAAAGCAATTGATTTTTTAGAAAAAGGTTGTAAATGTGGTTGTTCTT